AGGGAAGAAATAGCACTTTGGCTCAACTTGAAAGAAGCACAAGTCAGGGTAAGTGTCGCCTCTTAAATACACGTGACTAGATTAAGTGTCTAAAGTTTTTTGATTTATTTAATTATTTATTAATTTTTATTTATTTATTTATTTGTTTTTTATTTTTATCTTGTATTATTGCTTACTGTACATCACAGTTGTTAGCTGGTAATTTTACTTCTCTTCCTATAGTTTATAGATATTGTGATTATAGTTATTGTTGTTATTTTTATTACTGTTATTATATGTTTTTTAATGTTGTGGTTTGATTCTATTATCATTATAATGATGATATTATAATTATTGTTATTATTAAGTTTTATTTCATTTTTATTGTTAGTATTCCTTTTCGAAACAATCATCATTACTATCGTTATCATCATTATTGTGGTTGTTATTATTACTATTACTATGATTACTACAGTGATCATTATTTTACAAAGATCATTATCACCACCGTGTTCATTATTATTTATTATCGGCTTTGTTATTTTTATTATTTAGATTTTTTTTCGTTCTTTTTTTTCCTTTTTTTTCGTAATTACTTATTCGTATATATCACGACGCGTTATTTTTTTTTTTAATTATTATTATCGTCTTTATTGTCATCATGCGATCGTTATCATCACCGTGATTATGACCGATGCACTACGATGATTCAGTTCAAATAGTTATTATTATATTAGGACAAAAATTCAATTATTTCTTATGTACCTTTGTTCTTCATTAGCATTTGAAGTGTTTTTTTTCTCTCCGGTTAAAATAAGCGAAAAACTAAACACACACAGATTAGACGTTTATTTTCACAACAACAAAATTTAGTAAACATAATAAATATGATTATGTATATACATATATACACCTATATAATATATATACACCATATTATACTAATAATGTATACTATACATTATATACTATACTATATATATATATTATATATTATATACTAGATATATTATATTACCACATTATACTGTATAACATCATACTATATTATACTTATATATACCTATATACTATATAACTAATACTATATATATTTATTATACCAATGTAACGTATATAATATATTATTATATATATGTTACCCTATATATATATTATGTATAATATCTATATACTACTATATAGTATATATAAATATATAAAATCTATATACTAATATATACGCATACTATATCGAATATATGCTACATGATACATATATATAATATATACGTATATATATATTAATATATATATATAAGTATATTATACTATATACATCGCACTACCTACCACAACATACACAACACACACACACACACACACACACACACACACACACACACACACATTATACTTATATATATATATATATATATATATATATATATATATATATATATATCTATATATATATATATATAGTATATATATATATATATATATATATATATATATATATATATATATATTATATATATGTATATATATATATATATATATATATATATATATATATATATATATATTATATATATATATATAATATTATATTATATATTATATATATATATATAATATATTATATATATATTATTATCTACTATATATATATATATATATATATATATATTATATATAATATATCATCATATACACACACATCTGTCCACACACCACCACCACACACACAACACGCACCCACAACACGCACTTCATGCCTCCAACAATGAAAAGACACAATAGTTCGCCACCCAACAACCACACACATCCACACACACACATTCGGAAAAAAAAAAATCCCTTCGGATACATAGATAATTTTAGCATAACGATAAGGGTCCACTTGTTTGCAATAATAAAACGGCGGGCAAAAAATTTAATGTTTTCCTATTTTGAACAAGGCAATGCATTTTAACAATGTTTATGTTTTGATCCCGTCATCCCAAACATAATCCGAGACTTACGGGCTGCAATTTGAATATGTTTCACTTCATTCCAGCCAAGATTTCTTTTTATACATTTTTTCCCAACCCAACAAATTAAAATATTTGTTCGGCAAATAAACAGATCAGTAAGTGTGATGATGTTATCCAAACAAATGAATTACGCCGAAGCCAAAGCCACGCTGTTACATTCGCACATTTGTTGATGCATTTCGAAATATACGCGGGGTTAATAACGGATTTTTTTTTACTTTCCATTTAATCATCACCACGAACACTTTTATCATTAAAATCATAATATATTTTCCCCTCTGTGAGCCGCAGGGCTAAATAAATAAAACGGCTGTACTGCAAAATATTCCACAGTAGGTTTTAGAATTTTACCCATAGCAGCACTGATAAATTTCAAACACGCGGACAGACAGACAGCCACGCACGTACATGCTATCTGCGGCATCTTCACATGCGCTAATAATACACTAGAAAGATCAAGTGCCTTTTTATCGATAGTTCGTCCGCGGGCAAGTAGGCCCAGGCTCATTCAGCGGCCATGTTAGATAGGCCTACCGTCTTCACACGCCCCGCCAATGGGCCTCGGCCGTGATTAAGCCAATTTAATTAATGTTTAGTCGGTTAGTTACAAGCTGTTGGCAGGGGATATTGGGTCGTCTTATCAGGCATCGGGAAGAAAAACGGCCGTTTTAGAGGGTCGTTCGCTGGCAGGTCGCGGCGGCGTTGGGCTACACCTTGGGGCTTGAACCTGCCTTTATTTATTCATTGTTGTATGCATCTATGTTTATATATATATATAATATATATATATATATATATATTATATATATATATATATATATATATATATATATATACACCACACCACCACACATTAGTAGCGCATCCCATCCTTCCTTAGATGGCCACCTAACCCTCTCCTTCCCTCCCGCAGATCTGGTTCAAGAACCGCGCGCGCCAAGTGGAGGAAGCGCGAGCGCCACGCCATGGCCACGGCGATGCCCGGCGACCTGAAGGGCGGCTGGGGCGCGCAGCTCAACGGCCTGGCGTGGCCCGACGAAGGCCTCTACTCCGGCTACTCCTCCTACAACAACTGGGCGAAGGTGACGCCGCCGCCGCTGGGCGCCAAGAGCTTCGCGTGGGGCTTCAACGGCGTCAACATGAACCCCCTGATGAGCCAGCAGCCGTCGGCCATGTCGCCCATCAACTGCTTCCAGACGCCACGCAGGGCATGGGCGGCTCCACCTCGGCGGCGGCCGCGGCTGGCATCATGCCAGACGTCGATGGCGTCCAGCTCGGCTCCACCAGCGCCGCCGCCCGCCCTGCCCCTACCCCGCCCCACCACGCCCCCTATGTGTACAACGGCGACCAGACCTCCAACATGTCCCCTCCCTCGCTCCCTCCGCTCAAGGCCAAGTCCCACTCCCCGGGGTTCTCCTACCCCCCGTGTCCCCGCCAGAACTCCCTCTCGGCCTGCCAGTACTCCATGGGCGATCGCTCCACGGTGTAAGCGCGGCGGCGCGGCGGCGGCCGACCTGAAGGACCGTTCGGTCGCGGCGCTGACGAGCCCCTTTCCGCGGGGCAGCGTGCAAGCGTGCGACGACGGTGTAGCGCTGCGCGCTGCACCGAGCACCTTGGCCTTCAGCGCTGTCTGAACCGCCGGCCCAACCCCGAGGACTTTTGTTTTCTGAGGGGATGGAGGGGCATTCTTACCATCATCAGCCGCCCCTGGGGTGAGTGGCATTCATCGCGCACTAGCAAGCGCACTCGTCCTACAAGTCCCATTACACAAGGAAAGGAAATACGTGATTTCCAATGCCCTTGCTGCTTTTAAAAAGTTTTTACACGCGCGGGAAGAGAAAGGAGGAAGAAGGTCGTTATTTACCTTCGCCGGGGAAGTCGGGCAGGTTTCATATGACGACAAGAAAGCTTCGGCCGATCGAGATATATCTTTCTTCTTCCTTGCTGGCGCTCGGGATTCCGCAGGACCTGATTCGCGAGCGAGGGCTTCGCTCAGAACGAGACGAGGCTTCGAAAACGGCCTCCTCATCCTGCCGCTTTAGATGCCGCAGATACCCGACAAGGATAATCTGGCCATAGGATATGAGGAGGTTCTAGGCCGCAAGACACAAAGGGATTCTAGGCCACAGAACAGGAAAGAAGATTACACTTCATAGGACGTCCATACGACATCTCCCCTCCCCCCCCCCCTCACCCGCTAGTCGAGGAGAGACACCGAAGCATTCGAAGAGGAAGACGAAGCATCTCGTGAGCGATCGCAGTGGTTATTTGTAACCGCTGTAAACTCGCGAGTGGAATTACCCGGAAGTGATGTCGCGCGAGGAAGACAGACGACGATTTCACGATGAGGAATAGGAGAAACCCCGAATGAAGTGGAATGGAAGTGTTCATATGGCGTAAAAGTGATGGTTTTGTGTGCATGCGAAGGAAAGGGAGATCGACGAACAAGAAAACAAGTTTGCTTCTTCCTTTTTCTCTCAAGGCATTGGTAAAAGAGACGATTTTTTTTTATATATATGGAAAGTTGTGGACATAAGGAACAATGAAAGGAAGTGAGCGTGTGTATAACAAAGACAAATACTTACAGTTACTCACAGCCAGTGCGACACTATATAGAAAATATAGTCAAAAGAAAAACATATATGACATGTATGAATTCTTAGACTACAAGTGCAAGACCCACGGACACTACATGTAAGTCTATGCAATCAGGAATCGGAAATCACTCTAGTATTACCAACCAAAGTGAAAATACGACATTGTGCGGTTTTATTTTGTTTTTTGAGTCGGAGAAAAAAAAAAGGATTCTGCCTCGTTCACATCCACTTGGGTCACCGGACGAAATCCCGTAAGCAAAATCGTTCACATCCTTCACGGAGGACATCGAACTTTGGAGGTGAAAGAGAAAAAAAAAGTAAAATTAGGTACATATTTCTGCCACTGACTTTCGAGGATGAATCCGAGTTATGAAGTCGAGAGATAGGTGTACAAAGCATTAGAAAGTGTGTGTGTGTGTGTGTGTGTGTGTGTGTGTGTGTGTGTGTGTGTGTGTGTGTGTGTGCACGCGTTATAGCAAAGGTATCCGCGCGTAACCGTGTATCCGGATCAACTGGCCGGATATCGAAAACCAGACCAATACAAATCTGAATTCAGGATTAGCGTTTACGACAGAGAGGGAGAGAGAGAGAGAGAGAGAGAGAGAGAGAGAGAGAGAGAGAGAGAGAGAGAGAGAGAGAGAGAGAGAGAGAGAGAGAGAGAGAGAGAGAGAGAGAGAGAGAGAGAGAGAGAGAGAGAGAGAAATATTTGAATTGTCTGCTCTTCCCTCCTTCGCTCCTTTTCCACAGCAGAGATATCGTAAGTGAGATAAGGAAGATATAAATAATATATATATTCAATGGCTGTTGAATCGATTTTAGTTAAAGCAAATTTATGGTTATGATTTCTTAACCGTAGACGAAAGTTAGAGTTTTACAATTATATATGTGACCCTACCCATAACATAAACTAACAAACAATAAGGAGAATTATAGATAAATCATGTGTTTTGTAAATATAAATACAAACTGTCAGTGCTGTAAGTGATGCTAAGTCTTCCAAAAGAGAGAGAGAGAGAGCGAGAGTTTATTGAAATATTTAGTGACCAGAAAAAAAAGTAATTACAAAAAACAAAACAGAAAAAAAAACAATCTCAGTAAAGCAGTTGGTGTTGTTTTTTTTCCTCAAATGGATTGACGAAACAGATTGAAAAGGCAACTACAGCATGGATATTAGTGAAAAGATTATCAGTGTTTGCCCTTAAGAGAATGTACAGTGTTTTGTAAATGTTTCTGGGCATTTACATAAGGCAGAATTCCGGCGAGGGTTGAACTGTGTTGAGAAAATGTAAAAGTGATTTTTGGTTATTTCCTTTGAATTCTGAAATACAACGAGAATGAGGAGAGAGACGTAATTGAAGATAACTATACGATGTGTAAAAAAAAAAAAAAAAACAATAATATGTTTGGCTTCTTTGTAACATGGCCGACGACTATACCTTTTGTTTTATATTTAGAAATGATTAAATATATTATTGTCAGTTTAAGAATATTTTTCTTTGTGTGTTTGATTTTGTTCTGTGATAATTGTATATCGAAGAATAATAATGATGTCTCGGTATGT